GCAGCATCGAGTCCACTTGACATAGCCACTGCCAGAAACCCTAATTAATTCGGTCTCGCCAATGGGATCTCGGTCTCACCGAGATGGGCTTGCAAACTCTCTGTTGCCTGTTGCAACTATTTTGGTCCCATCGAGATAGGCACATCGGTCCCACCGAGTTAGCTTGACCAACTCTCTGTTTTGCTTATTACCAAAATCGGTCTCACCGAGTTTGTGTAATCGGTCAAATCGAGATGAGGTTTTACCCTAACCCTAGCACATCGGTCCCACCAAGTTGATCATATCGGTCCCACCGAAATGCCTAATAGTCACATTATGAACTGAATCGGTATGACCGAGTTTTCTGATTTGGTCTCACTGAGTTTAGTAAATTGTGTGTAACGGTTACATTTTGTGTGGAGGCTATATATACCCCTCCACTCTTCCTTCATTAGCAAGGAGAGCCATCAGAACGTGCCTACACTTCAGCATTCATTTTCTGAGAGAGAACCACCTACTCATGTGTTGAGACCAAGATATTCCATTCCAACTATATGAACCTTGATCTCTAGCCTTCCCAAGTTGCTTTCCACTCAAATCATCTTTCCACCAAATACAAATCAGTGAGAGAGAGTTGAGTGTTGGGGAGACTATCGTTTGAAGCACAAGAGCAAGGAGTTCATCATCAACACACCATCTATTACCTTTTGGAGAGTGGTGTCTCCTAGATTGGTTAGGTGTCACTTGGAAGCCTCTGTCAAGATTGTGGAGTTGAACCTAGGAGTTTGTACAGGCAAGGAGATCGCCTATTTCGTGAAGATCTACCCTAGTTAGGCAAGTCCTTCATGGGCGATGGCCATGGTGGGATAGACAAGGTTGCTTCTTCGTGGACCCTTCGTGGGTGGAGCCCTCCGTGGACTCGCGCAACCGTTACCCTTCGTGGGTTGAAGTCTCCATCAACGTGGATGTACGATAGCACCACCTATCGGAACCACGCCAAAAATCTCTGTGTCTCCAATTGCGTTTGCACACTCCAATCCCATTCCTTTACTTTTTTGCAAATTGCATGATTTACTTTCCGCTGCTTATATACTCTTGCCATGCTTGCTTGAATGTATTGTGAATGTTTAAACTTGTGCTAAAACTCCACCTTAACTTGAAGAAATTAAAAACTGCTACTTTTCTTTGTTAAGAGTCTATTCACCCCCCTCTAGACACATCTTCTAGATCCTTTCAGGTAGCCTTGTCCTTCCACTTGAGGATGCGAATGTCCTCTTTCAGCTTATCGACTTCTCTTTCAAGATCCCAAATTTTGCGGCGCAGTTTGTCCATATCTTCCTGCACATGGCGAAAAGGGGTGAATTGAACCTTATGGACCTTCATCATATTTGGCAGAGTGGACCTCTTGAACTCCACATTCATGTCTCCTGGTTGATGTAGAGGGAAGTCCTCTTCCTCCCCGCTTGAGTGATCCAGCATCTCCGAATCAGCATCCTCCTCCTCATCTGTTGGCCACTAGTAAGGACCAACATCACCTTAGACCCAAGGAATTGAAGTGTAGTGAGATACATAGCTCTACCCATCCGAATCTTGTAAAGACATTATGGGCCTGGCTTCATGACCTTGCCAGGAAAATAGCCCGAAACAAGAACAAAGAAGAAACTTGCAATACGGTGGTCAAAACATCGGGAAGTATATACAATGAATTTTTATCTTGCAAAACAAATATTTGGGAAGAAACCGGAGTCGAAAAAGTACACGAGGGGCCCACAAGACATCTGGGCACCCCCAAGGGGTAGGGCGCGCCCTATTGTCTTGTGGTCTCCTTGTGGACCTTCCCAGTTGTTTCCAATTTCCAAATTTTCTAATAATCCAAAACTGACAGAAAACATTTTTATGGAATTTTTGGAGTCGGTTTACTTACGGTATCACATACCTATTCCTTTTCAGGATTCTGGAACATTCTGGAAGGTCTCTTTTAGATATTCCTCCACTGTAATTGTTTGAATAACATTGGTTTCAACTTTAATGGGGTACCTGGAATATAATGTTTAATTCTTTGCCTATTAACCACCTTCGGACTAGTCCCATCGGCATTACTGATCTTGATGGCTCCAGAACGATAGACCTCCTCGACGATGTATGGCCTTTCCCATTTGGAAAGAAGCTTGCCTGCAAAATGTCTAAAACAAGAATTGTACAATAGAACTTGATCACCGATATTAAATTCTTATTTTTAAATTATTTTATCATGTCATCTTTTAAATTTTTCTTTAAATAACTTGGCATTTTCATAAGCTCGTGTTCTCCACTCATCCAGAGAGCTAATATCAAATAAGCTCTTTTCACCGACAAGTTTGAAATCATAATTGAGTTCTTTAATTGCCCAATAAGCTTTATATTCTAACTGAGAGATAAATGAAATGCTTTTCCATAGACTATTTTATATGGTCACATACCCATTGGATTGTTGTAAGCAGTTTTGTTGCCCACACTGCATCACCAAGTTTCTTAGACGAGTTCTTCCTAGATCTATTAACAGTCTTTTGTAATATTAATTTTATTTCTCTATTGCTTAATTCAACTTCCCCACTAGACTGAGGATGGTAAGGTGATGCAATTGTATGGTTTACATCATATTTAACCAAGATTTTATGAAATGCACCATGAATAAAATGTGAACCACCATCAGTCATTAAATATCTAGGGACTCCAAACCTCAGAAAGATAACTTCTTCAAGTATTTTAATAGATGTGTTATGATCAACACTACTGGTTGGAATAGCTTCTACCCATTTAGTAATATAATCAGCATCAACTAAAATATGAGTATACCCATTAGAGAAAGGAAAATGCCCCATACAATCTGACGATTGGATTTATGCATACTTTTTAGAGTATATTCTAGTGCCAAAATCCCTCTTAGCATACCCATCTAGCACTTATTCATGTCTCCAATGCATAGTTTTTGGTATTTACTTGTTTTACCAAATTCGTTGCATACTTTTTACTTTTATTTAGTTTTCCTTTGTTTTGTGGTCTTTGTAGGTGTGTTGATGTGTTCATGGACTTGAGATCATTCATAAAACATGTTCTTCATAAGTTGCTTGGCTTCTTGGCTGCAATTGATCTTCACGCCACAGGCACAACGGGTCATCTAGTTTAGATTAATTCATGGCAAAGCAAACAACCGCGAATTCACATATTTGATCTTTATCTTTGAATTTTATATTTGATCTTTATTACTGTTGCATTGATCTACCCATCGGTGTGAAAGCTGGCTATAGGCATTCTCAGGTAACGTACGAGATATCCTATTTGATGGAAATAAAGGTTTTAAGTAGTATAGAGATATATTTTCAAAACTGCAAAAGTCGACTTCTTAAGTTAAAAAAATCTGAAAATAAATACAAGTACTTAGAGACCGGACCTGATGGAAATTGCCTCCGTGATTTTGTTTTATTTACTGTATAAGTCCATGATTTTTTTGTGTGTGCAGCTCGCACCAAAAAGCATTTCATTATGAAATTTTACAGAAATATAATATACTTGTGTTTTTTTAAGTTCTGTTTGAAAAGTCATAATATGATTTTTGATATATTTCTTCCTCAAAAACCAGGCTTCCGGAGCAAGAAATAGAGCGATTGCTGAAACACGCTGGCGATCATGGCTTGAGCCATACCCACGTTATCCACTTCTATTCTTACACGGACCAGGTTTTCAATCCAGATTATCGCGCGCTCCTCATGTGGTTTTCACAAACCAAAAATGGAGCTTGGTGTGTTCAGAAAAGAAAAAGGAGCCACAAGCCCTGGAGGCTCATCCTTCCACTGACGCCTCGTCGTTGGCGCCACTATCGGCTCCAAAGATGCGCCCTGAATTTACATGCCCCAATACCAATAGCTCCTGAATGTTCATGCAGGCAAAAAAGACGTTTGTCACCCCTATGGTACCCTGCAGCAATACTTTTGATGAACCCTTTATGCAGGCACCAAACAATACTAGCATTTTGATGAACCCTTTATGCAGGCACCAAACAATACTAGCATGACGCTACTTACCACTTGGTATAGAAGCTGGGAGCTAAAACAAAACTGAAACGATTTAGCTACACTTTAGTCGACTGATTCGACTTTAGGT